GGCAGTCACAGTGGCACCTACCAGCGGGCGCCATTGTCGTCAGAGGGTTAATTAATCCCGTCTCATGGATGCGCCCCCGCATTCGACTTCCATTCAGAATCGTAACGACGGATTGAATGCGTATATGCCCCTATACAATGAATTGGCTGTGGCTGGCTGGCTGGCTGATGTACAAGTCAGTGCTTTTTCCTCCCAGCGAGTCTGGTACCAATTAACCGACCCCGGAAGATCCAAGGCTTGGTTCGCGTAGGCATGTACCGATCCGGGATTCGAACCCCTGACCGTGCGTGTGAGATAAATTTGCCTACAACTAAAAAATCAAATGATAACCACTCTGGACAAACCTTTGTATAGCTTCAGTTCTTTCTGTAACATTTTTTGATTCCAACGACTTTCTCACCACTTTGACTACATCTTCCGGTCGACGAACACAAGCAGCCACGAGCATCGATGCTAAAATAAATGAAATTGATCGGGACTCTTAGGAAATGGCCAGGTAAACGATGGGTAAAGTGAGGTTGTCCCATTTAGCTACCTATCGATATTACCAAAATCTCTGTAGCTATGCTATTCTCATGAATTGCATATAATCAAGAGCTAAAAAGAAATCGAGAAGGTCAGAAAAAAATACTATACTGAGCGAATAAGAGGTAAAATAAGTATTAAACGGTGCACTTTTTTCGAATCCAGTGAGCTGCGTCATTTGGAAAACGCAAATGCTTGTATTGTGGGAGTTTCATGGTTATTTGCGAATTTCTCTACGTTCAAAAGTCATCGTTTCTGAATAAAATGGCATGTTTCATGGTAGACCCTATTTATTGTCAATGTTAAACCATGCTATTTGAAAACGCAACGCACATTTTTATAGAAAAATTAGGTGGAAATGAGAGGAGGAGCCCTGAACCAACCAGAAGAAAGAACAACATGTGGATCTTCGTCAAGCAGCAGTTGCCATGAGACTTCTACCAACTGCTTGTAATGTTCCGGTGACAACAGCAAGCAACTTTTAAGAACTGCCGATAATGGAGAGTGAACCAAATTAAGAACCTAAATTAGTTTCATTTGATTAGTTAAATGTGAAACGAGTGACACTCCCAGATGTTCATGAAGTAAGCCCCCTATCAATGAGCTGGAATTGGATTGGTGAATGTCCTTAGCCTCCAAGCAAATTTCATCAAACGTATCTGACTTACTAAAGTTCGAATGTAGTCCAACATTGGTTTATTGGCATTTTCTTCAGGCTCATCGAATGTCTGGTCTGACTGACGGTCTTGCTCCTACAAAAAGGTTCTTTCCGAAAAAATATAATGCAAGACATCACGGAAAAATGGAATCCAATAGCTATGGCACGGTGAAAGTAGTCGAGATTCTTCTTGTCATCTTTCTTATTGTTTTAATTTGGTATGCCGAAGTTGACTTTGAGAACATTATCACTTTGGGCTATTGCATGCAATGTGTGCAAGGCTATTTCAATTAACCATGGACCAATTTCAGCTTAATGGCTTAATGAGTTCTTGGTCAATTCTCATAAAAAAAAAACTATTTTTTGTTCTCCTCGACGAAATTCCCTTCCCTATCCTTATTGGATTCTTACTGGAGTATAGATGTGTCGATAAGTCACACGGGTATGTTCAATAAATCTCTGCAACAATTGTCTCCTTCGTTTTCACATTAGCAAAGTTGCATAAAAACTTTTTTTTCGCCAAAGAAACGAGCTTCAGCTTGAATAAGGACACTTCTGGGAGTGTTGAGAAGCGAACGGTCACCGAGTTTTCAGCTTACAGGGAAGTCAAGTCAAGCTTGCCTGGTCATCTGGAAATGAACGGAGGCAAGACTGCTCGACGCCTGGGCTCGTTCATAGCTCAGAAGGAAAATCCAGGTCCAGAAATAAGAAGAACATCTAATCGAAAATCAGTCATATAACATCGCACTGAACGACTAATTTTTGTACAGCGATCATAGACAACGGTTTTCAGTGGAAACAGCGAGCTGCAACGAGCAAATCATTGTAGAACTACAGAACTCTACAGATTTCGCCTACAGGATTCAGGACGATTGAGAATTTGCTGCTGGAATCATACCAATACTGCAACCGAATAGGCCAAGTTCGGTCATCAGTTCTGTTTCTCCAAACTGGCACTCATGTCAGCGGTAAAATGAACACCATCAAATAAAATAGGTGATATCACTTTTTCCTAGCCCTGCAGTCAGTGCCCAGAGGCCGGCCTCCTCTCGCGTAGCGCCGTCACTCTTTTTCATTTCTTCAATCACAGGAAAATCACTCTGCACCCACACCTTCTCTCTTGAGCGCAATAGCTAGCATCTAGGCTTTGGTGCACCGTGCCTTTGAAGGAGATGATGATTTAAGGAGTGATGGGTTTGCAGGATAATAGCTACTTAATGAATCTCAAGAATTTGAGGCCCCCTGACTTTCTCGGATCCATTGAAGTTAGCGTCTGATGACACTGATTCACTCACAACCACAAAGCCAAGACTGCTTCTTAGATAATTTTAGATGTATACATAGTAGAAGAAGGTATCTGCTTAGTTCACCACTGACTGGTAAGATATTTTTCCATTTGACTCTAAGAAATGACTAAGCTACAACTTACTACACTTATTTTCTTGTGCACGCCCTCTTCCCGTTCTCTCTCCTTTTCGCGTTCCTTTTCCTGCATCATTTTCTCCATCAGCATTGCCTGAAATCGAGAAATTTATGCAAAGGATTGAAGTGATCGCAAAAAAGCTTGTACATGGGCATGGCATGACACTTCGCTCTAGCTTCGGTTCCGTTTTTCATTAAAAAAAAACAGGAGAGCTTCAATCTGAAAAACGTTAGGGAAAGTTATTGCAGGATACAACTGACAGATTGTGTCGATAACAGTTCATATTTAATGATGCCTATCCGACACAGTTTTCTAAGTTCAATTAATAAAGTGTTATCAATAGCATTCAATTTCAGTTAAAGAACAAGACGGAAACATTATGAAAAGGATATGAGAAAAGGAGTTGACACCATTCGCGTATCACAACTTTGAAAATAAGGTGTGCAGTGGGAGTTCATAGAACTACTCTAGAATAAAGCGATAACAACGGAAAAAGCGCAAAGAACGATGAACAAAAAGAAATAGAAAGGGTCAAAAAAAAGCTGGAAAGGGGGGTTGGACGAGTTTCACATTGGGAAAACGGCGGTTAAGGGAGTGTTCGGGCGAGTGCAGGAAGGCGGCGCAATGTCTGCAATAGCAGACAACACACCCAAGCAGACAACTTCGCTCCAATGCGAAAGTGATGAACGACAATTAGATTTCGTAGTCAGCCTAGCGATGGGCGGAGACCTCCCGTCCCCCACTGTTCCTGCCCTTATTGTGCCCTGTCCAAACCGTTTTCCGACCTCATTTCTGCACAAATGGTATCAGAGGGGGCGTCGAATTCAAATCATGTGCAGATCTCCGAAACCATTTTTTCGTGAACAGTGCCTTTAAAGCCAGCGTTTACGATATTTTCTGAGCTTCTAGCTCTATGGGCTTCTAAGATCCAACAGATTTTCGACTGTTACGAAGAATGTTTTCACGTAAAGTTTAGAAAAGTAGATAAGCAGTTTTAAAACTGAAAGTATTCCTCAAATGGTATTTCAGCCATACACAAAGGTGAGTGGTGCTCAGTCAGTTACAGGATACACTCCAAGCGTAGTGTAATGGTGACTGTATGATTTCCCTAGGTTATAGCTGTAAGCATACAGAGTACGTGCGTGCTTCCCTTGGTGAATGTGAGAGAATCTGAAGGAACAAAACTTTCCACTTCTACATACAGTACATAAGCAATGTTAGTTCAGTGTTTGATATAAAGTGAGGGAGGGGAGAAATTATTTTGGGGAACGTGCCGATCTGGGTACTGTTGCCGTAGACACTCGTAGTTGCAATATTATAAACAGCCAGGAAAACAAAAAAGCCATTCAACAAATGTTGCAAACCAGTAAAAAGAGTCAAAAGAACATTTCTGAATCTATATATCAATCACAGGTAGCATACTACAGGGTGGACCAGGATGATGTATTCTGGACCACAAAACGAAGGAGAAAGAGGTTTCACGTAGGGCCTAACCGGTACGAAATAACTTCAACAATATAATAAGCCAACAAATTGAAGTCGCTTTGATATCGTGAACAAAACTTATTAAATCCCATAGTAATTAAGGAAACTTTACGGTTAGACAACAACAAAGCCTCAGATCATTGTCCCCACTATTATACTTCCTTCCTTTCTCCTTCGGTTCGTATGAAGGTAAAGTGGTGAGGACAAGAATGTGACATGCTCCACTTTGGCAGCATTATATGTATTGCGGTATTTGAAGTCTCTTTTTTGTTCATCCTTCTGTAAATTAACGAATGCTATCGGGGCAAGGTCACACCAAGACCCAAATTTTGCCATTGATCACGAAATTTTTCCGCAGCATTGATATTACACTTGTAATTGTTTTTAATGCAAATATGTTTTCAACTTGACATCTGTGCCCACTGAAGGTCTGCTTCGAGCTTCACAGAGCTACCGAACGAGGAAGATAGTTGAACATTTCGATTTATGTAATTTAGTGCAGCATTCCAGACAACTAGAAGGTTTAGCTTGAGAAAGAAATGCAAGTCTGCAGGTAATTGATGTAGGTCTACGCCGCGGGTTGCTTCGGGAGGTTCTGTAAGCAGTGTACATACCGCTCTCTATTCTGGAGCGCATAGGAGCCGTTGCGATTGCAAGAACAAGCGGTTTGTCTTTTGAATTATCAATAAGGACTTCCCATGCCTTGATTTTCCCCTTATCTTTAGTCATTTCGAGGAGCGAACCGAACCGCTGGTCGAGTTAGCCCATTGCTTTTTCTTTTACACACCTTTCTCGGCCTTTCTCGGCCTATACATACCTAGCAACCGGTCAACCGCTTCAGCAGTGTGTTTGTCCTACGTCTGTTGTTGTTGTGTTCATTGGTCTTATTTGTTGACCTTTTTTCTTCCTTTTCTTTTGTCATTCAATTCTATAGGTTTTGAGTGTTGCTTGTTGCACCTCCCCGTCTGTCTAAGTGTAATCGACGCGTCCTTTGGGCGCAGAGTAAATAAGAATAAATAAATAAATAAACTGTTAAGGAACCCACTTTTATAACCTTGCTAGTGCCCAACTCCGAGTTCGGCCCAACAAGTGCGCTTTCCCTTCGCGGGACTGCCGCCGACTGTCGAGAGTGAATGGACTGAAATAGGAATGTACTGAACATCGGACAGCATCATCCGAATTTGTCACACTCATCTACGATAACACACGAGCACAACGATGTAGACACAGCAAGGCTTCCAGTGTCCAAGGGATACCTTTCCACTCGTGGAAAACCTTTGCGAAACGACCATACAAGTTTCAGTCTTTAAGAAGAAAAAGTTCGATGCTGCGATCTTATTTCTCGGATCAGAATGGTCTGCGATATACCAAGTGAAAAGGTGGAGATTGTTTCCAAGAATATTATTTCGGCGAGTCTAATTTAGAATTACATCATCACATGAAGGACCCATCATGATTTCACAGCTTAGTTTTCGACAAGTCGTATTCTATATAGAATAATGGCACAAGGAAATCGAATAGTCTAAAAACCAGGAATATTTATCCTGTTCCTTGCCTATTTTACAACTGCCCAAAAGAGTAGTTCGCTGAACATTTACCGTATGCCCCTATACCGCATGCAGTCAACCAATTGGGAAGAACCTTCCACGAGTGGGAAGAGATCACCACTTGGAGCGATCAGGTCACGTCATAAACGTGTAGTTCATATATGTGTGCTTTGAAGGTATTCTACCACGCCTTATGTGTTTTGATAAACACTTCTACGGCTTACTGTTTTTTTCGGGACGTTCTGCTGAGTTGCCTGCAAAACACTTCGTGTTTTCGGTAACGTCACGTCGTTCTCATACTTACTTGAAAACGATTGGGAGTTAAGAGAAGACACGAAATTGCAAAATGATTCTGTCTGCCGAAACGGAAATATGCAAGTGATCGATACATTTTTTAATTTCAAATACAAAGGTGTTACTGTAAATTTCAAAATGAACAACAAAGAGGTGGCTCACCCGACGGAGAGCTTGCTGTTCGCTTTGCCAATGATCCATCAACAGTTTGCGCTTGTCCACTTTCGTTTTTACTTCCCTGAAAACAGGCCGTCCTAGCACGTTTGATAATCGTTCACTCAGTGAGAGTGTAAGTGACGCTTCTCAAAATTGGAGGTTTAACTTCATATTTGCACCTTTTATCGTTTTTTGTCTATACCCATTTATATCGTGAACTAATCCCAATTGAATCTGTCAAATGTTAAGTCATCAACTATTAATTGGGCCTGTACGAGTTCACCGTTGATGACTTAATCTATTTCTAACAAGAGATGCCATAATAAATTGCTACCTGCTGCGATGAGAAAGGTTGGTCGGATGCTTCCTTCAAATGCTTGTTTTCCAGCTTTTAAAGACGCTTATAAAAGGGATTCGAGCCAACGTTATGGCTGTTCTGTTTGGGCTTAATCGCTTCTAGTCGTCTCCCATCAAGAAGGGACCCCCAAAGACCTTCGCGAGAAACTCCTGTACTAACACTATGTATTAGAACCCAGCGTTTCAAGTTTCTGAATGTCTCCACTGCTACGCCAATAGACTATCAGCATTAATCGCACACTTTACCGCTCAGTAACTATCTACTTAGCAAACAGGAGGGTAATGAGGTGAATGCATTCATCCTTCATCCTCGACATGTTCTATGATCGGAACGGTTGAAATAAAAGAAGAAGACACCTTGTCTAACTTAGAAAGTCCACGATATATGTAGGAAAAACAAATAATCACAACTCACCGACGATGTCCATAAAGGGAGGCGAGCGCCATTGTCAACCGATGACACTGACGGCTTACTCGTTGAAAACAACGTGGAGTGCAGACCACCTCATGGGAACATGTCATGTCGAACGAATTTGCCATGCGGATCACCACCTGTAACAATATTTATCTGAAGCTTTGTACATCCATTATAGATTTTGCAAACTTCGATAAAGAGGAATAAAAATTTAAGAAGAGCATTCACCGCTGAGGCGTAAACTTTGGAGGGAGCGCGCCACGATTGCACACAACAAAAGGTATTAGCTTTCACCAGCTTTCACGTTTTTTACACTTCCAAACTTGGCTGTCCTTTTTCGCAAAGGTAAGTCTACTGTCTAGAACAGTAAAAGACATCTATAAAATGGTGGCAAAAACGAATACTAGGCTAGTTAACTGCGGCGCACCTGAAGTTCCTTCTAATATCTCCCATATCAAGAGTATGAATTAGATTCTTCGAAAATGATTTGCTGAAAGTTTTGCAACAGATCAGATCTTTTTAGACT